GGCCCCCGCAGCGGCAGCTCTGCCAAGGCTGGCAGGCGTGCCGGGCAAGAGGGGGGGAGGCGCGCGAGCTCCATGTCCGTGGTATCAGTGATCACTCCATGGCGATGGCCTCGCTGCTCCTCTGCCAGCGTCCGCTGCGAGACGCGGACATGCCCGCGGCCATCCCGCGTGATGTGGTCATGCGTCCTCGCTTCGGCGATCGCGGGTGGCTACCTGGGGCAGAGGCAGCTCCCTGAAGGGAAGAGGGTCTTCGGAAGAGGAACCGAAGAACTCGTTAGACCACCTACGCCCCCAAGGCTGGTGGGATTCGCAAAAAAAAAAAACACGCCCCGCAGCCGCACCACGTCCAAGGTCGGCTGCCGCTTGGCCTCCCCGCCTTCTCAGGAGGCCGCCCCCCTCGCGCCACCCCCCTTGCGCGCGCCGCCAACGACATCGGCCTCCTTCCCCTCCTCGCCCTCCGCTTCATCACCTCTCCTGGCGCAACCCTGGGAACAAGCCGCCCCTCGTCGCCCCCCCCCCCCCCCATGTCATCGCCCTCCGTCACCACCTCTCCCTTCTCCTCCGCCTCGGAGACCTTGGCGGCGAGCGGGCCATGGCGGGCGGCAGTCGCACTCGCGCCGCCGCCGCCGCCGCTGTCGTCGCCGCCGTTGCCGCCGCCGCCGCCGTCGCCACCGACATCGTCGCCGTCGTCGTCGTCGCCACCGACGTCGTCGTCGTCGTCGTCGTCGTCGTCGTCGTCGTCGTCATCTTCACGCTCGCGCTTGCGCTCGTCGTCGTCGTCGTCGTCGTCGTCGTCGTCGTCGTCATCTTCACGCTCGCGCTTGCGCTCGCGCTCGCGCTCGCTCCGTGGTCGGTCGCCGCGCCGTTCGTCGGTCACCGCACGAGTAGTCGGTCGTCGGTCGCCGTTCCTCGATCGTCGTCTTCCGCCGTCCGCCGCCAGCGTCGCCGCCGCGGTCGCCATCGTCGTTTTGGCCGTCGCCTCCATGGTGGCCTCCGTCGCCCGCCGCGGCCGCCGCAGCCAGCGCCGCCGTGGCGCCGAGGTCCTCCTCAGGGGGTCCGCCGGGGCCGCGGCACTGCTCGCCGCCCTGCGCTCCGCCTCGGCACTGGTGCTGCAGCACGGGCCGGACGCGGCGCAGGTCGCCGCTGCGCCGCCGCTGCGCCGCCGCTGCGCCGCCGCCGCCGTTCACGAGCGGCGAGCCATTAGTCGGATGGACCTCTCGAGCCCCCCGCCGCCTCGAGCGGTGTGCGTTCAGAGCAGGAGCGCAGCAGGGCCACAGGAAGGCGCGGCAGTGGCGCTGCAGCTCCGCACGCGTGTCGGATGCTGTGACGAGCCAGAACACAGCAAAGCCCCGGATACGCTGTCGCACGGAAGCGTTCCGCGCGGGGCATCCGCGAGAAGACGCCCCGTATCCGCGGGGTGGCGGGCCAGGGGCCAGGCCCGCGAGGCCGCGGGTGCGGATGTGTTTTTTGCCCACGGGCCACTGCTGCCGGGCAAGGGCTATTCCTCGGAGGAGGGCCCGTCGAGACAACAGCGGCCCTCCCTGACGTTTTTGTGGTTCCTTTTGGGCCTCCTGCAGGCTTCTCGTCGCCACGGCTGGATCTGCTTCGTCAGACGGGCCGGCATGGAGCCCAGGAGGGGTCCGGGACGGATTCTGAGCGAATGTAGACTGGGCAGGAGATTTTTGTTCGGACCCTCTCGTATGTTCAGGGAGATTCCCCTGCCTCGGGATTCGTGCCAGCGGCTGCGCTTCGCCGAGAGCGTTCTGGGGGTTGCCCAGATCTTCCCGAACGGCCGCCGTGTAGTTGGTTTTTAATGTCGAAGAAGAGACAACATAAGTATTCATGCTCGGACGTCTGTGCGGATTTCTTGGGTTGGTGCTGGACCTTCCCTGTCGGCGCCAGAGGCGCCGCGCCTGGTGCGCGCCAGAAGGAGGGCGGTCCAGCACCGACCCAGGAGATTCAGACGCTTCGCGCAGCCCCACCAGCCCATCCAGAAACGTTGCCCTGATCAGGCATGTGGGGGAGCACGCAGTGGAACAAGAGGCACGCGTGCCCTGGCTCTTGCACAAGCAGACAAGGAAAGACGAGGCCAGAGCGGAGGCTCGGTCTGGGGCCAGGGCCAGGGGGGAGGCTGGGTCCAGGGCCAGGGCCACGGGGCTGGGACTGGGAGCAGTCGCTATAAAGGTCTGGGTTGGGGTGAAGGGTCCCAGGGGGGAGGGGCCAGAGCCAAGGGGACGACGACGAACCACGAATGAACCACGAACGAAAAAAAGAGTCCGGGACGAGGGGTGCTTGGACCAGGCCCGAGCGGAGGCTTGGTCTGGGGCCAGGGCCAGGGGGGAGGTTGGGTCCAGGGCCAGGCTTGGGGGCTGGGACTGGGACCAGGCGCTTGAGGTCTGGGTAAGGGCGAGGGGCCCAGGGGAGGAGGGGGCCAGAGCCAGGGGGACGACGACGAACCACGAACGAACCAAAAACGAAAATATAGAGTCGGGGGCGAGGGTGCTGGGACCAGGCCCAGAGCGGAGGCTTGGTCTGGGGCCAGGGCCAGGGGGGAGGCTGGGTCCAGGGCCAGGGGGCTGGGACTGGGGCCAGGCGCTTGAGGTCTGGGTAGGGGCGAGGGGCCCATGGGAGGGGGGGGCCAGAGCCAGGGGGACGACGACGAACCACGAACGAACCACGAGCGAAAATAAAGAGTCTGGGGCGGGATGGGGCTTGGCCCGGGCCAGAGCGGAGGCTGGGTTTGGGGCCAAGGCCAGGGGGGAAGGCTGCGTCCAGGGCCAGGGCCAGGGGGCTGGGACTGGGAGCAGTCGCTATAGCGGGCTGGGTTGGGGTGAAGGGTCCCAGGGGGGGGGCCAGAGCCAGGGGGACGACGACGAACCACGAACGAACCACGAACGAAAAAAAGAGTCCGGGACGAGGGGTGCTGGGACCAGGCCCAGGGCGGAGGTTTGGTCTGGGGCCAGGGCCAGGGGGGAGGTTGGGTCCAGGCTTGGGGGCTGGGACTGGGACCAGGCGCTTGAGGTCTGGGTAAGGGCGAGGGGCCCAGGGGTGGGGGGGGGGCCAGAGCCAGGGGGACGACGACGAACCACGAACGAACCACGAACGAAAATAAAGGGTTCGGGGCGGGATGGGGCTTGGGCCCGGGCCAGAGCGGAGGCAGGGTTTGGGGCCAAGGCCAGGGGGGGAGGCTGGGTCCAGGGCCAGAGGGCTGGGACTGGGACCGGGCGCTTGAGGTCTGGGTCGGGGCGAAGCGCTTAGAGAAGGGGGGGCCAGAGCCAGGGGGACGACGACGAAGCACGAACGAACCACGAGCGAAAAGAAAGGGTCCAGGGCGAGGGGGTCTGGGACCAGGGTCAAAAGGGGAAGCTGGGTCCAGGGCCAGGGCCAGGGGGAAGGCTGGGTCGAGGGCCAGGGCCAGGGGGCCGGGACTGAAGCCGGGGGCCGGATGACTGGGTGGGCGCGAGGGGCCCTGCGGAGGGGGCCAGAGCCAGGGGGACGACGACAAACCGCGAACGAACCACGAGCGAAAATGAAGAGGTTCGAGCTCTAGAACACAACTGTGCAAGATAGTAAAGGCTGGGAAGCCGTCATAGCCCAAGAGGGGGAGAATAGGATAGTAAGGGCTGGGAAGCCGTCATAGCCCAAGAGGGGGAGAATAGAGGAGAATTTAGAGGAGGAGGAGGGGGGGAGGAGGAGGAGGAGGAGGAGGAGGAGGAGGAGGAGGAGGAGGAGGAGGAGGAGGAGGAGGAGGAGGAGGAGGAGGAGGAGGGGGAGGGGGAGGAGGAGGAGGAAGTAGATGGGAGGAGGGAGGAGGAGGTGGAGGAGGAGGAGGTGGAGGATCAGGCGAATGAGGAAGAGGAGAACGGAAAGGCGAACAAGTCATTGGCAACCTTCCCCTCGCCTTTCCACACTGTTGCGCCGCCTTCCTCTCTACCAGAGGGTTGGCGGCGCCCGTATGGACGCTAATATACATCTGCAGTTTTTTCTGCTGATAGGTGAAACGGCAGCGCGCGCCCGCCCTCCCTCCGGTCGGGTGACTGGCAGGTGCACATAGACCTACTACAATCGAATCGCATGCAGGGCATATTAGCTATGTCGAGGTCCCCGTACTCCGAGGTGTAACATGGGACCAGCATTAGACCATACTCAAGCACACGAACATCATGAACATCATAAACCTTTGCCTATGGATATGCATCTTCCTGAGTTGGGAACTACTAGGCAACAGTGCAGAGCAGAAAGGCCAGATGCATCTTGGATACTTCTCGGAGTCTCTTCGGATGTCTTTTGAGGGTTTCTTGTAGGCCTGTTGGGGCGTCTTGGGAGTCTCTTGGCGGTTCCGGAGACCTCTTGAAGCGTCTTTGGTGCCTCGGGGGAGCCTCTTGGGGGTATCTTGGGAGCCTTGGGGCCATCTTGTGGCCCTCTTTGGGGGTATCGACCAAAGAAGGGTGGGGCCCCAGGAGGCCAAAATTGGGCCACAACTCCAGTAAACTCACTGATTATTGCGTGCTCGCCGAGGCCATCTTGGATGTTTTGGCTTGCAGCGGGGCGCCCCCTCAAGGTCCAGGGGTTGGGGTTAGGGGGAGGGGTCAAGTTAGCCAGCTCGAACGAGCCAGAGGGCTCCGTCCACTCCCACCCGCCCTCCCACAACATAAGAAGCGAGTGCGTCGCGTCCGGCGCCTGTTGCTCGTCTTATATCGTGGGCGGCTAGACGTTCAGCGCGCGACATGAGCTGCGTCCTATTCCTGCCGCGTGTTGAGCAACGTCGACGAGAAACAAGTCCGCGCGCGATGTACGCCGCGCCCCGCTCCGGCCTCTGATGTTGCATCGTCGGCGGCAACATGTCCAGCGCGCGAAGTGCGCCGCGTCTCAGTCCAGCCACGCGCGCGCCGGCGGCGAACCGCACTTGCTTGAGGCATTATGACTTGCCGCCTGCCCAGCTCCTCAACCCGACGGGCCGCAGCGTCGACGACAAGAAAGTCCATGTTGACGAGCAGGCGTCCCCGCGCGATGTGCGCCGCGTCCCGTTCCTGCTACGCGATTCGCAGCGCCGACGAAGAGAAAGTACATGTTGGCAAGAAAATGTCGACGACGCGGTGTTTTTTGACAGGAAGGACGGGGGGTCCCGCGTAGGGTTGGCCAAGCGTCCGCGCGCGATGTGCGCCGCGTCCTGTTCCTGCTACACTTTTCGCATCGTCGACGACAAGAAACTCCACGTTGACGACAACAACGTCAACTTTGTATTGAATTTTGATGGGTAGGACGCGACCACCCGCTTAGGGTTACCCACGCGATGTTCATTCCGTCACATTCCTGCATCACCTTTTCGCAACTCGACGACATGTTGGCGAGAGAAAGGTTGAGTTTGTGGTTCGTTTGAAACTTAGGACGGCGGGGTCGCTGTCGGCTGGCTCGGTGAGGATCTGGGGGTGTTTAATCATAGGAAGTAAGGATAAACCACTCCCCGAAAAAGGGGAGGGTTAAACCCCTCCCCGAAAGGGAAGAAGGGAGGTTGGAAGAGGAAGCGCTCTAAACCACCCGCGCCCAGAGGGTTGGTCGGACTAACCAGGCCAGCTGTGCCACCTATATGTACACATGCGTTCTGCCAGGTGCAACGCGCGTTCCCTCCAGCGCATCCAGAAGCGACGCCCGGCCGAGTTGAGGTGATCTGGAAAGTGTAGGAGCAATGATGGGGGGGGGGGGAACAATGATCGTTCGAAGGAGAAGGAGGGCGGATGATGGAGGAAGGGTACTTATGATACTTAATGTCAGGTGGATGATGATGATAATGCTGACGATGACGATGATGACGATGGTGATGATGACGGTGTTGATGGTGATCACGACGTTGATGATGATGATGTTGATGATGTTGCTGTTGCTGGTGATGATGATGATTGTGGTGGTGGTGCTGGTAATTGTGATGGCGATGATGATGACGACGATGACGACGGTGATGATGATGGTGATGAGGATGATCATGATGGTGGTGGTGGTGGTGGTAGTGGTGAGGAGGAGGAGGAGGAGGAGGGATGAGGGAGGGACGGGAAACACGAATAATAGGCGGAATGGGATGAGGAGGAGGAGGAGGAGGGAGGAGAGGAGGAGGAGGAGGAGGAGGAGAGGAGGAGGAGGAGGAGGAGGAGGAGGAGGAGTTGGAGGAGGAGGAGGAGGAGGAGGAGGGCTCGCAGATGGAGACCTCTTGGGGTGTCTTGTGGGTCTCTTGGCGGTCACCGGGGCATTGGGTGCCTTTGGGGGGTCTAGTTGGGTCTTTTGGGGTCTGCTCGTGGGGCTCCACAGGGAGCTCCACCGAAGGCCCCAGGTGGCCGCGACCGCATACGTCGCCCCCACCCAGTACAGTGCTTCGTGGCGCCATCGGGGGGGACGGAAACAAACGCAAAGTTAGGCAGCTGCTAGTTGTTCGGAAAGCACACGGACCATAGCCCGTGTTGTCGTAATGACCCCGCACCAGCGTGCCCTTTTTTCACGTGCATCCCCAGGCCGAGCGTTTTACCCTCTTGCAGTACAAACGAAAGTCGAATGGGTCCTCACCTCAACCTTCACCCAACATCTCCACCTAAATGTTCACTCGCGCTCTCACTGCTTGAATCGTCACATAACTCTTCATCTAAATATCTCTTCGAGCTCCCTCAGCCTAAATTTTCACCAACATCTTCACATGAGCCTTCACTCGCGCTCTCACGGCGTAAATCTTTACCCACAGCTGCTCTCGCGCTCTCGCTTCTTTAGTATTCATCAAGATTTATACTTACATCTTCGCTCGCGCTCGCAATGTTTGAATAGTTCCTCTCTTTCTTAGCTCGCGCTCTCGCAGCTTGAAACTTCACCGAACTCCTCACCTAAATCTTCGCTCGCGCTCCCACTGTTGAAATAGTCACAATCATCTCCGCCTTACTCTTAACTCGCGCTATCGCTGCTTAAATCTTCACAAGCAAATCTTCACCTCAATCTTCACTTGCGCTCACACTGTTGAAACCTTCACTTAAGTCGTCACCTAAATCTTGGCTCGCTCTCACTGCTGAAATCTTCACTTGTCGCCGCGTCGTTTGTCCCGACGCGCGGCCTTGCGTCTTTGGGAGGGCGCCGCAGCCACTATGGCAAACTCCGCCTCAGATGCAAGGTTTGGCGTTGGTTTGCCGCGGTGCCGGCTGCGCCTTCTGGGGCGCAGGGCGTGCCATGGGTTTGCCGCGGCGTGGGCGTCGTCCACTTGGGCGCGTCGAGAACACATGGCACGGCGACACTTGAATATTCGCCTACATCTTCACTCGCGAACTCGCTTCTGAAAACCTTCCCTGAATCTTCACCACAATCTTCACTCGCGCTTTCACTGCTCAAATCTGTCAGAAAGTCAAGCACATGTTCTCTCGCGCTCTCACAGCTTGAACCGTCAACTAAATCACCGTCGTCGTCGTTGTCGCTTGGGTGCTTGCTAGTTTGATTCCATGTTTTGTTGGTGGCCCGCGGCCGCGCCACCGTTCTGTCATGCGTGTTGTTTTCGGCTGCTCGGGGGCAGCTGTTCTGCTCACCCGCTGTCTTGTTCCAGAACGGCCCGCGCGACGCCGGCCAGCGTTTTCGTTTACACTTGTGCTTAAATAGGAAGAAACGAGAACATAAAAAGTTGTTCAGGTTGTACCATAATATATGCGCTTGGCGGATTCAAATTCCAGTGTGGGAAACAGTGGATCCGTTCATTTTCCAGGAATAGATGTTTAATAGCCAGGACCCAGGTGAAATTGGATTCACTGGGCACTGCACGTGACACCCAACGGTGTGATTATACGTGAATGGGGTTTCCCAATCATCACCGTCATCACCACCACCACCATCACCATCATCATCATCATCATCATCATCATCATCATCATCATCACCACCAGCATCGCCACCGGCATCGCCACGATCATCACTACGAGGTCGGCTCGAGCGTCACAGCGGGCTCTCGCCCACTCCCACAACACCCTCATAAGAATGGAAGCAATAGAAGGCTTGATTGTCACTGCGGGCCCTGCCCACTCCCACACTCTCCCTTGTAATATTGGGCAAGTCAAGCGTCGCCGCGGGCGCGCATCCTTTCGCGCCCCCATAACAATGATAAGCTCGACCGTCACCGCGGGCACCCGCATGGCCTCTCGAGCTCAAGAGAAGCATCTTCTAACCGGCGGTAGTATTTTATCAGGGTGCCTTGGTAGGAGAAATGGCCTAGATGAGATCCAGCAGCCTCACCCGCATGTTGCCGTCTTCGTCGAGGCCTTACTCCGTTGTGGGCAGCGCCGCGCGATTTTCGACCCCAGATGTACCAAGTCGCTGTCGCCGCGCTGGAGGAGGCGCAGGCTCGAGGAGCATTGCCCCGCAGTCGAGCAGGATCGAGACCCACTTCGGCCGATTGGACTCGTCCAGCCCGAGCAACTGCATCTTCACGAAAAGAGGAGGCTTGCTGCGAGAAGGCGATCGTCATCGCAAACACCAATCGCGACTGCGGCGGCGGCTCCGAGAGGCGTGTCACACACGAGGAGCACCTAGGCCACTGTGCGCGTGCGGCGCCCCCTCTGGGCGTCCCATGCCACCCTGAAGCCTGCCAGGCCTGCGCAGCAACACATTACCTCCAGTGACTCGAAGCCGCTGCAGTGCAAGGGGCCGCTTGCCCGCGCCCCTTGCGTGTTTCAACGCCAGACCGTGGTGGTCCCTCCCTCCAGAGCGTGACTAATGGAGGATGACGATTAATAAATGACCGGGGGTCGTGTGCACGCGGCGGCGCCCGGGATGACGATTAGAAAAAACCGGCCGCGGGCTGGAAAACTATTTTTCAATCGTTCTCCTCCAGTCAGGAAGTTATGCAGAAATAGCAGAAAACTATTTGTTTAATCGTTCTCTCCCATTTTTTTATTCATCGTCATCCCGCATTAATCGACAACGGCACCCATCGCAGTGAGACCAAGCCCAGGGATCCACGTGCGAAGTCGGCGCACCAGGCACGGCGGCGGCTGCGCGCGTGCGCGCCCAGCAGGGCCACTGCGCGAGTTCGCTTGGCCCCCCACTCGCCATCGGCCCGTTGGCGCTGCGTCTCCCAGGAATGAGCTGCACACTGTTCATGTCTAAGTCTTCCCAAGTTCTTTGACTCCCTGGGGGGCCAGGATCCTTTCATTCCTAATTGTTCCATCCTGGGCCTCTTCCTGGCCACTAGGGGGCCAGGAACAGTCAGAAACGAGCACACTTAGAAATGAGCACGATTAGACATGAACGACGTGTACAGCACATTGACCCGCGCAAACAGCGCTCAAACCGAGCTGGCCCTGGGCCAGAAAAAGAAGTTCCAGCGGGCAGGCAGTCGCCTCTGGGCTCGGGCGGGCAAGTCGGGCAGGCAGAAGCAGCTCGCCAGTCGCCCGCTATCTGGCTTGGCATCGCTCGGTCGTGTGCATTTTTTCTCGGCGACGGCCATCGAGCAGCATCCTTGACCATCGAGCCAAGAAAGCACGCACGAAACCGAAACATGCACGGGGAATGGACGTCCGAGCGATGGCAGGCTGGAGTAAGCAGGCGCATCTGCCCTAGTGGCTGCGCGGGGGTAGCTTGAGCCAAGAAGAGCAGCTGTGCTGTAGCGGGACACAGGGCCGAACGGTTGGCCGATTTGCCCCCTCCGCCCCTCGTGCGGTCCTCTCACATTGCTGGCAGCCGGGCAGAAGCATGTGAGACGGCATCCAGATGCTCCAAGCGGTAGCGGGGGTCCTTCAACACAGGGCACGGCGAACACATACGCACAATGCGTGTATGAAGCACGGTGAAGACAACGCTATAGATCCGGGCCGAAAGCATCGAAAGCAGTCGGTTGGCCGAGTCTGCATTTCGTCAGAGGGTGCGCAGGGACGCAGCGTGCTCCTGCCGAGGTCGGCCCCTCTCGGCGCCATCCCGCTCGGGATTCCTGTACTTCTGCTGCGGATGCCGCCGCGTCCCACACACCGATCTCAGATGAACGATTTGATGCGCGCCCACCTGCAGTCGGGACCCCGCCGTGAGGGAATATTGAGAGAGTCAGCGTCTCTCATCTGCGAACATCGAGCGCAGCCTGCCCAGAGCCTTGCAGTGGGCCCCGCATGCCGACCCTAGAACTTTGTGCTGGGCTTCTGTCCTGCCTGACTAGGGGACCCCACCGAGGCCCCAGTGGCCGCCGCCCAGAAGCGTCTCCCCCGCCCAGTCTTCGTGGCCCCCCCTAGGGAGTTCCCTGACGGTCCACGTGGCCGCGGCCGCATGCGGCTTCCCCACCCAGCACAGCGTTTCGTCGCCCCACATGGGGCTCCACCGAAAACTCCCGTGGCCGCGGCCGCATGCGTCCTACACACCCAATACAACGCTTCGTTGCCCCTTAGTGAAGTCCACCGCAGGCCCCAGTGGCCGCGGCCGCATGCGTTTCCCCCGCTCAGTACAGCGCTACGTGGCCCCATAGGGGTCCCCAACGAAGACCCCAGTGGCCGCGGCCGCATGCGCCGCACTGGAACTTCCAAGGTCACCTCTTGGGGCCCTCTTGGAGCGCTCGTGGGCACTCTCGGGGCCGTCTTGGGCCCTTGTGGAGCCGCTCTTGGGGCCTTTTTCGGCCTTCTTGGAGCCGTCGTGAGGCCTCGGAAAGCCATCGGCAGCGAAAAGGGCGAGAAGGCTGAACTCAATGAACTTCCTGTCTAGTTTTAAAGGATTCGGGCCTCTTGGTGGCGTCCTGTGGAGGCCCCTAGTTCTCTTGGGCCCGTGTTGTCCTGCTCTTGCGGTCTCTTGAAGCATGTGGGGAACACGCTTGGGCGATCTTACACTGTCTTGGGCCATCCTGGAGGTCATCCTGGGCGCTCGGGAGCCCCCTCTTGGAACCATCTGGGGCCATATTAGACGCTCCACCCCCTCTCGGGGCGCCCCGTCCAGGTTCAGGCGGAGGGGGTACGGGGAGGGGCAATGAGATGCTATCCTCAGCGTCGATCGCGCCTCTTGAGCCCCCAGGTGTCGCAGTCCGAGCTGGAGCGGGAGTCGTCGCGGCTCCGGGCGGAGATCGCTAGCCTCCAGGACTCGTTTCTCGTCGCTCTTGCCGTCTTTCCTTCTCGCCCCCTGGGTCGTCATGGGCGCCAGCGTTGCAGCAATCGCTTTTGACATGTTGATGCCCATTTGAAGCAACGCCGTCTACGGGCGGGAATTCTTGAATAACGTCTCGCTCCGCTGGTTCTGGCCAACCACGCTACAGCGCGACACGCGATCCGCGTCTCAGCACCCGAGCGTCAGCGTCTCCAGTTTTTTCCCAGCCCCCCGTGGAGCGGAGCGACACGCTGACCGCTCGCAGTGCAACGCATGTCGCCGTGGCCACCGCCGCGCATCGCTATGCAACAATTTTCGAGCGTAACCGCTTCTGACCTGCCCGTCGACACTTCAACGGCGATGTAGGTAACAGCGATGTAGGTTTGGGTATTGTAGGTGGGGGTGGTTCGCGGCCAACCCAGTCGTAGGAAAGCGCTCTTCGCGTTTTCCTGCAATCTGTTCTGCCCGAGTCTGGCGTCGCAACAACCATATTCCCAACATCGCCGTCAACGAACATCGCCGCTACTCATGGTAAGGACGCACGGAGGTCCACAGGATGCCCTTGCCCCCTCGCTTCTGCGGCCCGTCCTTCGCGGCTCTCACTGGCCAGCCCTTCAGAGTGTTGGCAGCCCTTCCGCCCAGAAAGAACCGGCTTCGGCGTCCCAAGGTTTTTGCGCCCTCAGAGTACGTCCTCATTACAGATGTCGACTGTGACCCACATCGACGTTACACGTCGGTCGAAAGAAGTAGGTAAAAACATGAAGTAGGAAGGCGTTGGACGCAGCTTGGACTCCCACCCGCCCCCTGCAAACGAGGGTGAAAGGAAAACCACTCGATCCTTTGATCCCCCAAAACTTGGTTTTTCGGTAGCAGATCATTGGAGCCTTGTGTACCCTCTCAATTCTGTCTCTAGCGTCGATTAGCGTCTGGAAGTCAATGAGATGGCGCCGGATTAGCGTCGGCTAGCGCCGACTAGCGTCGACTTAGCGTCGAGTAGCGAGGATGTAGCGTTGACGAGGATCGATCCGCAAGAGCCGACAGCATGGTGTGGAAGGCCCCCGCGAGCTGCCACAGAATCTTTGCAACGACCGACGAGTGCCGTGGCCTTGGCCTGCTGCTGCCGAGCCGCAGCGCTGCCGCCCAGACGGCGGCGCTCCGCTGCGGCCTGGGACGGCCGAGCCCTTCGTGCTCGGCCCCACGGGCGGGCCGCCCGAGGCGGGCGCCCGCCGTCGATGTCGTCGTCGTCGCCGTCGCCGTCGCCGTCGCCGTCGTCGTCGTCGTCGTCGTCGTCGTCGTCGTCGTCGTCGTCGTCGTCGTCGTCGTCGTAGCTGTGATCCCCGATGGCCAGGTCCACGGAGACGGACCACGCCACGATCTGCAGGTCGACCTCTGCCCTTGCTCTCTCCCGGCGCCGTCGGCCTCGCAGGAGCTGGCGCTGCGGGCCATCGCGGGGCAGCCAGCGCGGCCGGTAACTGAGACGGCTGCTCCCCGCAGCGTTGCGGGAATGGCTCGCCGGGAGCAGTGGCAGGGTCCGTGTGGCGTCGCCCCACGCATTTCGGCAGCTCGATAGCGTGTCGCTTCGCCGGTTTTGGCCCACCATGCTCCGGCGCGACACGCCATCCGCTTCCAATCCCAAAGGCGGCAACATCTCGAGTCTTCCGAGGCCCCCCGCCCCGCGGAGCGGAGCGCCACGTCATCCGCTTGCAGAGGATAGTGTGTCGCCGGGGCCGCAGCCGCGACACGCCAAGCAACAGGCCCCGACCGCTTGTGCGCGGCCACAAGATCTCAGCGTCACCGTGCTTCGGCTGGGCGGCGGCGGCGGGGAGCACGAGGGCGTGAAGGGGCCCCTGCCGCGGCCCCTGACCTGGCCGAGATCGGTGCGCGCTCCCCCGAAGGGCGCCGGTCCGCAGCGCTTCGGCCCTGGGCCAGAAGGCCGCGTGGGCCTGCTGTGCCCGCGGGCCCTGAGGAAAAGGCGCGGCCGGACCCGGGGGGGCTTCCCCTCGGGGGTCCAGTCCTGCATCCCGGAGCGCCTTTTCGATGGTCCTGGGGCCCGGGGAGGGCCCCGAGAGGCCGAAAGCGGTCAACAGCAAAAAAACATCGGGGCCCGCAGCCCTCACAAGGAAGACGAGGAGCACGAGGAGGAGCGAGAGAGCCCGAGGAGGAGAACAAAGGAGGAGGAGGAGGAGGAGGAGGAGGAGGAGGAAGAGGAGGACGAGGACGATGAGGAGGAGGAGGAGGGAGGAGGAGGAGGAGGATGAGGAGGAGGAGGAGGAGGAGGCGGAGGAGGAGGAGGAGGCGGAGGAGCAGGAGGAGGAGGAGGATCTCCGCTAGCGTGAGCCGCTGCTCCTGCGCCAGCCAGGAGCAGATCCGGCAGAAGCACGCCGAGAGGGCCGCGGCCGCCGGCGACCTCGAGGCCTCCGCGCGCGAGCGCGCGCGGCGCTCCGAGCGCTGCAGAAGCAAGGTGGGCGGCCATCAAGGGTGCGGTTGCGTGGGGGTGCGGTTTGCGATCGGCACCGCTGGGGCCGGGGGAGCGCGACGCCGTCCTCGTCGGGCCCTCTCGGGGCGCGGTGGAGAACGCTATCGAGGTCCCCGCCCGCCCCTCGGGGTGCCCCCCAGGGTGCCGGTCGCAAACCACACCCTGTGCAAACCACACCCTTCGGAGTCGCCGACCAGATCTCCGACAGTACGCAGGTTCGCGTCGTGCCGAGCGGCGGCGCCGCTGGCGAACCGGAATCGGTGGGTGTTGAACGATCTGACGTTTCTGAAACGGCTGATCGTTGAAGGTTGAACGATCTTCGCGGTGTCAGGAACCAACGCCACGGTCGACACGACACGAACTTGCCGTACGAGTTCTGCAACCTGCGCTTTTTCCTCGAGCTTGGCCTCTGGGATCGGCTATCGGGCCCCAGGACACGAACAAATCACTGTCAGGAACTTCAGGTTCGCTTGTCGCTCCGCCGGTTCTAGCCCACGCTTCGGCGCGACACGCTGTCCACGTCCCCATTCCCAAGCGTCAACGTCCCGAGCATTTCCTAGCCTCCCGCCCTGCGGAGCGGAGCGACACGCTATCCGCTTGCAGAGGATAGTGTGTCGCCAGGGCCGCCGCAACGACGCGCTAAGCAACAGTTCGCGACCGCTTGTGCGCGGCCACAAGATCTTAGCGTCACCGTTTTTCGGCTGGGCGGCGAATCTTCCAAGACGGCCCTGGAGCATTCCAAGTGGGCCCCAAGTCGGCCCAGAGAGGCCTCCCAAAACGGCGTCAGACGGGCCAGGAGCCCAGCAAGACGGCCGAAGATGGCCCTAAGATGGCCCAAGACGGCCTAAGGGGCCTCTAAGAGGGCATCCAGGAAGGCCCCAAGAGGCCAAAATAACAGATCTTCAACCGTTTTTCAAGGATTTGGGCATTTGCTCATTTCGGAGCTTCCGACGGCCCGAGACGGAGCAACAGCCCCCAAAGGTCGCCCCAAGATCGCCTACGAGGCCTCCCACGATGGCCCCAGAATGGCCCAAGAGGCCCCCAAGACGGCCCCAAGAGGCCCCCAAGACGGCCCCAAGAGGGCCCCAAAACGGCCCAAGAGGCCTCCAAGACGCCCACGATGGCCTACAAGACCGCCTTGGAGCACACGGCCTTGGAGCACCCCAAGAGGGCCCCAAGCCAGCCCAGAGAGGCCCCCAAGGCGGCTTCCGACGGCGTCAGAAGGGCCAGGGACTTCCGATCGGGAGCGATCGGGATCTCTGGGGCCGCGGGTTGAAAAAAACAGATCGGCGTATGGCAGGGAGTTGCCCCCCCAAGGCTCGGGGCTCTCCAGTCGATGCGGTGACCACATCGCGTGGTGAGTCGGTGGGGCTTGGGTGTGGCCGCACGATGCTTGGATCTGGGTCGCTCTCCGAGGACGTCTGGCGCAGCTGGGGCAATAGGTGCACTTGCCCCAACCGTCCGGGCTGGTTGGTGGAACATCTTAACCTTGGAGTAGTCCCACTGGCAGGTGCTCATGTTGCCACTCGATGTCGGCCGGTCGGAGGCTGCCCGCTTCACCTCGAAGCCCCCGGCGGCGGATGCGGAGCGCCAGCTCGCACGTGGCCCCTCCTGTGCTGTTAGGCCCCCGTTCTAGACCCCCGCAGCGCCGCGCCCCGCCGCCCATGATGGACCTGTCTTCCACCACCACCACCACAAGTTGGAGGGGGGGATGAGGTCCTCCTCCTCCTCCGCCTCCTCCTACTCCTCCTCCTCCTCCTCCTCCTCCTCCTCCTCCTCCTCCTCCTCCTCCTCCTCCTCCTCCTCCCCACCCTCCTCCTCCCCCCCATCCAACTTGAGGTGGCGGTGGTGGAGAGCAGGCCCAGCATCCCAGCCTCCCCCCCTCTCTCTCTCCGCCTCCGCTCCGCTCCCCGCCCCATCCTCGGCGCACCCCCCCCTTCGCACAGCGCCTCATCTCGGGCCCCCCCCCCTAGCGGGGGAGCTCTCCACCTGCGGCCTCCGTGGGCACGCCGCCCGCCCCCCGCCCCCCCCGCGCCATGCCCGCCGCAGGGCCCCCTCGCGCGTCTCGCTCCTTGGAGGCCGCGTGCAGCCGGACCGGAGGGCAAGATCGAGGTCGGCTCGGGGAGGGTGCCCTGAGGATCTTCGTGCTTATTGTCGGCTGCTCTTGTGCAGCCTTGGGGGAGGTGGGGGGGGGGTACTCTTGGCTGCTTTGTGTGCCCTGGCCCCGGCGGAGGGTCTCTTGTTCTTGGGGGATGCTCCTCTGGCCCAGGTCCGACTGGAATGGGGGGCAGCGAAGGCTGCCGAAAAGGGGCCCTTGAGGGCACCTGACAAGGGGCCCTTCCGGGGCCCCTGAAGGGCATGGCGCCGCCGCCCCCCTTTCGACACACACGCACGCACGCACGCACGCACGCACGCACGCACGCACGCACACTCACACACTCACACACACTCACACACACCCACACACACTCACACACACACACTCACATACACTCACACACACACTCACACACACTCACACATTCTCACTCACACACATATACACATACACACATACACATACACACATACACACATATACACATACACACATACACACATACATACACATACATAGACGTACCCATACATGCACATATATACATACACACATACACATACATACACATACACATACATACATACACACATACACATACATACACACATACTCAGACATACACATACACATACACATACACCTACGCATGCCCATACACATACACGTACACATAATCCTGCACATACACCTACACATACACATACACATACGCCACCTACACATACACATACTTATATTCATATTCATACACATACACATACACATAACCCTGCACATCCACCTACACACATACACATACGCCACATACACATCCACATACACATATTCATATCCATACACATACACATACACATACACCTGCACATACACCTACACATACACATACACATACGCCACATACACATATTTATATTCTATATTCATACACATAAACATACACCTGCACATACACCTGCACATACACATACACATACGCCACATACGCAGATTCATATTCATACACATACGCATTCACATACACCTGCACATACACCTACACATACACATACACATACGCCACATACACATACACATACACATACACATACACATACACATACACATACACATACACGTACACATACACCTGCACCTACACCCACACATACACATACACATACGCCACATTCACATACACATATACGTACACAGATTCACAATCATACACAAACGCATCCACATACATATACACCTGCACATACACCTACATATACACATACACATACGCCACATACACATGCACATACACATATCCATATTCGTACACATACACATACACATACACATACACATACACCTGCACGTACACCTACACGTACACATACACATACGCTAGATACGCATACACATACACATATTCATATTCATACACATACACATACACATACACTTGCACATACACCTACACATACACACACATGCGCCACATACACATACACATATTTAAATCCATACACGTACACATACACATACACATACACCTGCACATACAACTACACATACACATTCACATACACATACGCCACATACACATACACATGCACATATCCATATTCATATTCATACACATACACATACACCTGCACCTACACATACACATACACATACGCCACATGCACATCCACATACACAGATTCTTATTCATACACATACACATAAACATGCACATACACTTGCACATACACCTACACATACACATACACATACGCCACATACACATACACATACACATATTCATATACATACACATACACATTCACATACACCTGCACATGCACCTACACATACACATCCATACGCCACATACACATACACATACACATATTCGTAGTCATACACATACACATACACATACACCTGCACATACACCTACACATACACATACACATACGCCATATACACATACACCTAGACACATTGAGATTCATACACATACACATACACATACACATACACATACACGTACACATACACATACACATACGCTACATGCGCATACACATACACATATTCATATTCATCCTCATACACATACACCTGCACATACACCTGCACCTACACACATACACATACGCCACATACACATAAACATACACATATTCAAATTCATGCACATACACCAACACATACACATACACCTGCACATACACCTACACATACACATTCACATACACATACGCCACATACACATACACATGCACAAATTCATTTTCATACACATACACATACACATACACATACGCCTGCACATACATCTACACATACACATACACATACGCCACATACACATACACGTACACATATTCATATTCATATTCATATTCGTACACATACACATGCACATACACATAGACCTGCACGCACACACACACACACACACACACCTACACTACACATACACATACAAACGCGCACACACACACACACACACACACACACCTCGCGCAGATCGACCGCGCGCGCGGACCTCCGCTCACTTCGGGCAGGTCCCTGCAAATGGATCGCTCCCCACCCTGGGCCCCACCTCGTGTCTCAACAGACATATGTGCGGTCGCACCGAGGCATGAGGTCGAGGTCGGTTCGGGGAGCGTACCCTCGAGTTCTGCGTGCTTGCTGGGCATTGTGCTTTCTGGGGGTGGGTGCCCTCGAATGGTTTTCATGATCGCCGGCGGAGGGTCTCCTGTTCTTGAAGGATGTTCTTCTGTCGTGCTCCAAATCCATTATTAATCGTCCCCTGGGTCCGGTTCTTTCAGGCGCCTTGTTTTGTAACTGGGGGAGGGGCCGGTTTATTAGGGCGCGTCCTGTGGAGTGGAGCTGAGGGGGTCCGGTTTATTAGGGCGCCCCGTCGAAGAGGGGGGTCCGGAATATCAGGTCGCATTTGGATGAGGGTCCGTTTTTTTTAGGGGGGGCAATATCCGCAGCGCGCCGATTCACAGATCACTGGCCTCGAGGTTCTGGCCGTGGCCGTGAGCCTTTGCGTTTGGGAGTCCTCCCTCAGGGGCCGCGATCTGCTAGTCTTCAGCGACAGCGCGGCCGCCGAATCAACTCTAAAGAATGGCTACGCGAGCGCCGCCGACCATCGCGCTCTCGCTCGCGCGTCTGGGCCAGCGGTCGGGGCACTCGGCATGCGCGTCGTGAGTGAACGCGTGCCGACCGAAGTGGGCATCGCCGATTTGCCAAGCCACGAGGAGAGCTCGGCGCGCGCCGCGCGCAGGCGGCGCTCGCCCGTGCGTTCGCGAGCCCAGCTCGCCAGCGCGGATTCTGCTGATCGCACGTGGACGCGGCGCCCCCCTTGTCTCCACGCAGTTTCGCACAGCCAAGCAGGTCCTGTTGCGCGCCAGCGGCAGCGCGCTTGTTGCTCTACGCGCTCGGCGAATCGCATTCACTAGCGCGGCTGGGCCGCTTGCTGCGAGCGCGTGGCCGCGTCGACGCGCCGCGCGCGGTGCGCGGCACTCGCCCGTGCGCGAGCTCCGTGGAGTGCATTGCGCGCCCATTTTTTTTTTCCTTCGGCGAGGACCATCGAGGAGCATCCTTGACCATTTGGCGAAAAAACCACGCACGAAACCGAACAAAACACACGGAATGGACGTCCGAGCGATGGCGAGCGTTCATGCAGAAACTAATTCTAGGCGAAGCAGCGGAGCTCCTCGTCGCCACCGACGCCTTGTCGTTTACCGACGTCAGAACGGTGCCAGACTGCCGGTGCTGGACTGGCAGCTCGGCGGGGCGCGCGCTCGCGCGTCTCCCAGGCGCCCGTCGCCGTAGTGCAGGCGGCAAGCGACGCGTGCATGAGGTTGGCGCGCGCCGCGCATCGGTGCGCCCCTCAGGCGGGGCCGCCGCCGTCCAGAGTCCGCGGGGTCGCACCAAGTTGCAAACGCCAGCGCCACTCTTCTTCTGACGACGGTGCGCCGCGCAGAGCGGCCGCGCATCGCGCAGAGCATCCGCAGTCACCGACGACAGCCGCGACGACAGCAACTCGCCGCAGGCAGCGCTGCCCGCCCTTGCGCCGCCCACGCGCAGCCAGGAGCGCGACAACGCGGAAAGCTTGTTAAAGTGGCTGAGTGCGAATGCGCGCCTGTTCGGGATAATTGAGGCGAGTGCCGCGGGGCGGCGCGAGCAAGTCGCAGTGGCGACCGAGGGCGTGTAGGCGTGGCGCGAACGCGAGCGCATGCGCGCTGCTGCTGCGCTCGCGTCCACGCCGCGGTGGCGGCGGCGGCGAAGTCCTGGTTCTATTTCGCCGAAGCCCGACTTCATCGTGCGGGCAACGAGCTGGCCTCAGATGTGGGCGGCCTGCTGGTGTGGTCATGCACCTCCAAGTCTATCAGCGCCTGCTGCAATTGCGCAAGTGCGTTTCGCGCGGCTTGCGAGGCGCGGTGGCGACGGGCCGGCGCGACGCGCCTGGCGGTAAGGTGCTCCGGCTGAATGCGGATTGCTTCGCGGCGCGGGGTGTCGGGGGGGCCCGCGCGACCATGCTCGTCGTGCGAACGCAGTGCCACTCTGCGCCTATGCAGAAGGAGAGAATATCCGCGCCCGCGCAGGGTGGCGCGAGATCGTCGGTGCATGGAGCGCCAATCGAGCGCGCCCAATGGCCGCCCTGGGCAGAATGCCGACGGGCGCGCGGCCCCTTGTCGGCCTGCGTCGCGCAACGAAGGATGCCGCAGTCAAAGCGTTGCCAGTGGTTGCGCGACAGCTGGCGCCCACGGTCAGGCCCGCCGGGCGCTCCGGAGCGGGAGGGCCTCACCACGAAGCGCCTGCGGCGAGGTCGCGCGGGGGCCGTCCGCAGGGCAGGGGGCCGCCTCGGCGACGTCCTGAGCGCGGGCGGCTGGTCGTCCAGGGCATCCAAATAATACCCGGACCGAACCGGAGCTGGTCTGCGCTGCCGCCGGGGAGGCGGCGTCGCTGGCATCCGCGCCCGCCGTCCCTTGATTCGGCCCTTAGCGGGCCATGATTTCGCGATCGCAGTCGCACCCATCGACGGGGCGCGACGCGCCTGGACGCCTGTCACCACCGAGATGTCGGCGAAGATGATGCCGACGTAGCGCCCCTCGGCGTGCATCTTCGTCGGCATCGGGGCTCCGAGGGGCGAGAGCTTGTCGTTCAACCGCACGGTCGCCTGCTCGAGGGCGAGAGGCCCTCCAAGGCGCCAGCGACTGCGGTGACGGCCTTCTTCTCCAGGCCTGCTCCTGGGGACATTCCGGCGCGCGTAGGGGAGCGGGTGAAGTCTTTGTTTCATGTAGTCCTCGATGCCATCCCGGATACTCCTCTCCAGCATGTCCGTGTCCATGGCGGGGCGCTGCAGCAGATCATTGTGCAGGTTCTCCAGCTTCTCGAGGCGGACAAGGTTGACGGACATGCGCTGCTCGAGGATTTCGAAGCGTCCGGAGAGGTTCGCATTCAGGTCGATGATGCTGCCGCCGATGCCCCGCCCCTATTGCGAAACTCGTCCCTTGACAACGTCGTGGGCCGTAGTCGTGCAGCGGTCCCTGCCATGGTTACCTCCTGGTCCTCGCCCGTCCTTGCGTCAAAGCCCGACTGTCTGAAAAGGTGGTCGTTCTGCTGCTCCTGCTGCTGTTCTCTTTCGTCGCGCATGCGCTGGTAGCCGTCGTCCGCGAGGAAGGGGTTATAGAAGAAGCGACTCTGCCTGGACAGGTCGGAGAAAATGCGCGGGGACCAGTACGGGCCGCTTTCTCGCTGTGACCAGTCATGTTCTCCCACGGTAGTGTTGGCTAGCTCCCTCTCCAAATCCATGGCTGCGCTCGCGAGGGGGGACTTGGGCCGCGCTGGACGCCAGCACGGCCTGGGTAGGGTCGGACTTGAACCTTAATTCGACTTGAGCCAACGAAGCGAGGAACGATGACAACGGGGAGGAGTAGAAGGAGTAGGAAGAGGAGGAGGAGGAGGAGGAGGAGGACGAGGAAGAGGAAAAGGGGAGGAGGGGGAGGAGGAGGATTATCCCGGCAAAGCAACATAACAGCGATGTGTATAAGCATATCTGGAAGCATTCCTCTTAATATTCATGTGAGAATCCACTTGTAGAATTCTGCTGTTCTCGCAGTCACATTCGCATTCGCAATGACAGTCGCAGTGGCAACGGCCTTAGGATCCAATGTAATCCTAAGAATAGGCATCCTTAGGAATCCATGCGAATCCTTAGGAAACCTTAGGAATCCTTACCTGATCCCTAGGGATTCCTAAGGATTCCTAGGAATCCTGAGGATTCCGAAGGATTCGCCTGCCTCGGCCTCAGCCTCAGCCTGTCTCAGCCTCAGCTTGCCTCAGCCACAGCCTTAGCCTGTCTCAGCCGCAGCTTGCATCAGCCTCAGCCTCAGCCTCAGCCTCAGCCTGCCTCGGCTTGCCTCGGCCTCAGCCTCAGCCTGCCTCGGCCTCAGCCTCAGGCTCAGCCTGCCTCAGCCTCAGCCTCAGCCTGCCTCAGCCTCAGCCTGCATCAGCCTCAGCCTCAGCCTGCCTCAGCCGCAGCTTGCCTCAGCCTCAGCCACAGCCTCAGCCTCTGCCTCAGCCTCAGCCTGCCTCAGCTTCAGCCTCAGCCTCAGCTTGCCTCGGCTTGCCTCAGCCTCAGCCTCAGCCTGCCTCGGCCTCAGCCTCAGCCTCAGCCTGCCGCAGCCTCAGCTTCAGCCTCTCAGCCTGAGCCTGCATCAGCCTCAGCCTCAGCCTCAGCCTGCCTCAGCCTCAGCCTCAGCCTGCCTCAGCCTCAGCCTGCATCAGCCTCAGCCTCAGCCTGCCTCAGCCGCAGCTTGCCTCAGCCTCAGCCGCAGCCGCAGCCTCAGCCTCAGCCTGCCTCAGCTTCAGCCTCAGACTCAGCCTGCCTCGGCTTGCCTCAGCCTCAGCCTCAGCCTGCCTCGGCCTCAGCCTCAGCCTTAGCCTGCCTCAGCCTCAGCGTCAGCCTCTCAGCCTCAGCTTGCATCAGCCTCAGCCTCAGCCTCAGCCTGCCTCAGCCTCAGTCTCAGCCTGCCTCAGCCTCAGCCTGCCTCAGGAAAGGTGTTCGGGGCACACGAAGAACTCGAAGTGGCCTACTGTTGGCTCCGGGCATTCAAAATGTGGCCTGGGACTGGTGTTCTGGGAACACGAAGAACACGAAGTGGCCTACTGTTGGCTTCGGGCATTCAAAATGTTTCCTGGGAATGGTGTTCTGGGAACACGAAGAACACGATGTGGCCTACTGTTGGCTCCGGGCATTCAAAATGTTTCCTGGGAATGGTGTTCTGGGAACACGAAGAACACGAAGTGGCCTACTGTTGGCTCCGGGCATTCAAAATGTGGCTTGGGAATGTTGTACGAAGATGCCTACAGTTGGCTCCGGGCATTCAAAGTGTGGCCTGGGAATGGTGTTCTGGGAACACGAAGAACACGAAGTGGCCTACAGTTGGCTCCGGGCATTCAAAGTGTGGCCTGGGAATGGTGTTCTGGGAATGGATTTCTAAGGATTCTTAACAATTCTTCAGGATTCTGAGATACCTGGGGCTGCCGGATCCCCTGTCCGGGTCCCGCCCAGACCCCCTTGGGGCGTCAAGATGCTCTCTTTTGACCCTGCTAGAGACCTATCAGCAAGAGCAGTTAGGTAAAAACGAGGAAGAGGAGGAGGAGGAGGAGGAGGAGGAGGAGGAGAGGAGGAGGAGGAGGAGGAGGAGGAGGAGGAGGGGAGGAGGGAGGAGGATGAGGAGGAGGAGGAGGAGGAGGAGGAGGAGGAGGAGGAGGAGGAGGAGGAGGAGGAGGAGGAGGAGGGAGGAGGGAGGAGGAGGCGGAGGAGGAGGAGGAGGAGGAGGAGGAGGAGGAGGAGAGGAGGAGGAGGAGGAGGAGGAGGAGGAGGAGGAGGAGGAGGAGGAGGAGGAGGAGGAGGAGGAGGAGGAGGAGGAGGAGGAGGAGGAGGAGGAGGAGGACCGTAGCCATTTTGGCTCAAGCCATTTTGGCTCAAGTTGCCATTTATCAAGGCAGCTGGCCAGGACAGCTTCTTCTGGCCATCACGGGTGCAGCCCAGACAGGCGCCTGTGGTGGTCGTAACCTTCTTTCGGCTTTGTGAGCTCCTGGAGGAGCAATTCTTTCCACGTCCAGTTGTGCCGAGGCATGACTAAATCCAATGGTAAGGGTAAGGGGCCAGTCGGCCTTGCTTGCCCGCACTGCGGATGCAAGAAAAACCCGAGCCACTTCAAGTTCTGCTACCACTGCAAGGGATCCATCCCGCACCTCGCGCCTGTTCCTCCGCCTCCACCTGTCTGGGAGTATAACCCTTGGGTACGTGCTCCTGGTATCGCTGGGACTCCTGGGGGTGGCCGCAACGGCAAGGGCGGGGGCAAGGGCAAGCACCAGGGTGGTAAGGGTGGACAGCGCGGTGATGAACCCACGGGAGGAGGAAGGGAGCCGAATTTTCGTGAAGAGCTCCACCGCCTCTCCCAGTTGGCTGCAGGAGGTAAGCTTCGAGGGATCTTGCCTGACGCTTCTGTCGACGCCATCTCTCAAGCGTGGAAGGTGGCTCAAGATCAGAAGTTGGCCAGTGTACCCCCGTCCCAGCGCCTCAGAAAGATGGAGCAGGAGCAGACCAGGAGCGAGAAGCGCTTGGAGAAGCTCATGGAGGAAGAGAGCTCTGTTGATGAAGCGATTCGTAAGTTTCAAGACAAGAAGGCTGAGCTCCAGGTCAGCATCCAGAATGAGAAGGAGAAGATCGAGGAGGCCAAGCGGAGGGCTGCTGCTGTTCAAGCTTCTTCGGCAGAGTCTTCGGCTTCGGCACCCTCCATGGCGAGTTTCATTTCGCATCTCAGTATGTTCGAAGGGACTTTGTCAGGTGTCAAACACGAAGGTGTACGTGCTAATCTTCAGGCACGGTATAAGGAGTTCTTGGATGGTCTTCGTGAAGCCATGCCTGCACCAGAGCCTGAGGTGGCCTCTTCGGGCGCAGTTGAGTGCTCGGTCATGGAGGTCGACGAGGCCGATGTCATGGAAGCTGTGCAGGTTAATGGTGTTTCAGATTCTCAGAAAAGGGAAATCTTGGAGGCCATTCGGTCAGCGAGTAAGAAACCGAGGTTTCGGTCCCCAGGTGCTGGAGGCCGACCCACAGGCGGGGATTGCACCCGCGCGCCCTCCACACCCTTCCAGCAGCCGCCCCCGTCCGTCATGGGCTCAGGCACGCGGTCCGACTGGGAGTTCGATGGGTGTGGGGGTGGTTCTGAGCATGACCTTTAGCAGTTGCGACCTCGAGGGCCTCGTTCTCGGAAACTCTGGATCGGTGTTCGGGATGACTGGCATCGGTGGTGGAGTCCATGAGGCGGGGTTTCAGAGGAGTACGGCATCAAGATCGGCCTCTTCATATCATGTGTACTATGGCAATACTATTTCATCGGCGATGGCCACATTGTCTACGAGCAGCTCTTCAGGGCTGCGTGGCATCGCTCCTACTGAGCCCCTGGACCGACAAGGCCAGGGCCCATGTGGCAGTAACCAGGCCGAGTCGGGACAGTCGGGAGGCCAAGGGGCATTTGCCACGCAGCCCACATCAACCTCGGTGTCAGGTACCTTCAGTCGTGGGTCAGTCGGTTGTGGGCAGCCCGAACGAATTGCCCAAAGGAAAACTGGTTCAGAGCTACACCCCCTCAGCATCATCACGTTCAATGGGAACAGTTGGCACGGTGAAGCTGCAGATGACGGTTCATCCAATGTCAAAGGTGGTGGTTTCTCGGAGCTTGTCAGGACCACGATTGGTGATGTTCTCCTTTTTCAGGAACACAAACTGGCAGGTGCGAGGCTTTCACGGACCCGCTCACGGCTTCAAAAGCAAGGTTGGCGAGTCTATGCTGGAGAGTGTATCATCAGTACGGAGACAGGGAGACCCAGCTGCGGCACGATGATCCTGGTCAGGAAGCATCTTGACTCTTGGGTTCCGCCGCCCTCCCCTCTATCTCTCTACGATGGGCGAGTTGTGAGGATTTTTTCCCGCTCTTCAGAATTTGGCATTGTGGCGCTCTACTCAGTCTATCTTAAGGCTTCTATCGGATACAAAGGGTTGAATGTGAGCATTTTGAAGACAGTGTGGAAGGACATTTTCGACCATGGACTCCCGTTCTGCATTGGCGGAGATTTTAACATGGGACCCAGTGAGATGGCGAGCAATGCCCCACTTGTGCAGATTGCAGGAGTTGTCAGGGCTCCACTGGCACCTACGTTTGTGGTCCCTGAAGCACTTTCAGTCATTGACTACTTCATCGTCAGCAAGCATCTAGATTTTGCAGCAGGACAGGTATTCACAGATATCGATGGCTCGTACAGTCCTCATCGGCCAGTCTATTTTTCTGTGAAGAGGGCTTTGAAGGATATCTATGTCAAAGTCCCTGTCAAGTTTCAACATGTACCACCTGTTGCCGCAGTGGGTCCTGCTCCTGCTCCCCCCAGCTATGATCTGATTGTACATGACATTGAAAGGTTCCTCCTTCCTTTGCAAGATGCTGATGGGATTTCTTACATGGCCACTGGTGCTGATAAATCCCAGGGTGCTCTTCTACTGGATCGTGTGTATGATCTTTGGGTCTCTCAGGCCTGGGGTGAAATCCTGGATGTGTGTCAAGCTAGGGACTCGCCTGGGCTCCCTGGGGGATCTGACTTGCAGTTCAAGGATAAGCCTCTCAGGTCGCTCCTGGTTACCAAACAGTACGAGAACGCCTTTCCTGGACGAGCTTTGGAATGGGTCCTCCACAGGCTCCAAGAATTGAGATCTCTATTTCTTCGAGGCGGTAGGGAAGGCTATC